AATAATTCCCAAAATTTCCAAGGTTTTGCTAAACTAATATTACAATTAACAACTATACTCCAAAGTTTTTCTAATGTAATTTTGGATCCCAAGTAATCCAAACGGACACAAACCCGTTTATCATTTCCAGGCAAAAAACCATACCACAGCAAAACCCATTTCAGGATACCCAAAAATCTGTCTCACACACACACGCACGCACATAACTGTAACACACAAAGTAAGATGAACTTGCCTGAAAGAAAATCGAAGTTTTGAGACTGCTCAGAGATTTTGGAAGCACGGAGGAGCGGATTGAAAGGTGGTCCAGATCTGGAGCCGAAAATCCGAGAAGCGTAGTTGAACAACTCGGCCCGAGCAGAGAACCGAGAGAAGGGTCGTTGGGTAATCATGGATTTTTGTTGATTATTAGGGTTTCGCAGGCTTGAGATCAGTGTATATGAAGCAGAGGTAGGTTAGAGAATGGGGGCCAGAGAGAGAATTTTACTATGGTTTAGACTTTAGATAGAGAGGATAACCAAGTGGCCCAAATTTTAATTTTATCACTTTATTCCGTAAAATTTCCTATTTACATTTTAATAATATTATTTAAAATCAACCAATCGAAAATTGATTATTCTTTCAAATTAGATGCCGACCACCACCGTAACTCAAATAAGTATAGGACACGTACCTATCCCTTAAATTGAATAACGAAATTCATCGTGTACATGCGGTGTTTAGGGGTATTTCTTAAACAAAAAAAAAACTAAACTAAATTGACATCATCAAAATTTCCTAAAATTACACTTAAAATCTCTTTCTCTCATCCTTAATTGTTAAAAAAATTAAATATTATTATACTTAATTTAAAGACTTAATTTATTATAGTTGATAGATAACAAGTTAGCTATGTTTTAGAATCAAATTAGGAGTAACTCGTGACTGAAGGCACGGTGTAATATGAATTATTTTGAGTCGGATGTTGGTGACTGTTAAATGAATCTATTAAGATCATCGGATGAATTTATTAAAACATCTTTTATTTTATATTATAAAATAATCAAATTAGATTTAAGTAAATATTATTCTTTATAAATATTAGTTATTCTCGGGGCCTAAAGGCACAAAGTAATAAAAAAATGATAAACAATAAACATATTTGTATTCATTTTCAAAGTTAAATCACAAACATAGAAAAGAGATAAATGAATTTAACCATTGGTTGTAGTGGGGGTGAGACGTGGTGGGCGGTAGTGGTAGTGATAGGAGACAGTGATGGGTGACAATGATCATGGTGGCGGCTGCGGTGGTGGTGGCGACGGTGCGTGTGGTGGTGGTGGCAACAATGGGTGTGGCGGCGGTGGTGATGGTGGTAGAGATAGTGGTGAGACGGTTTCAAACACTATTTTTTTTTGAAGTATTTGTTAGAAATAATTCTTATAAGTACTTTTAGAAATTCACTCCAAACACACTTTTAGGAGTCTATTTTTTCTATTTAATTTAGGGTGTTAATATTAGTCGTTAGATTAACTTTAAAATAAAATTTAAAACGATTTGAACTGCGAAAAGTAAAAGTCATTTTGTTTATTTTTGAAATTTAAATTGTAAGCTACTTTATTATATAGATTAGACATATACCTGAATGATGATATCCCCTCTTCAGTTTCTTAGAGTATCTCTAAGAGAGAAGTTAAAGTACATAAAAATTTTAAATTTTAACTATTGTATCTTAAAATTCCATTCCAACGTAACATCTCTAGAGCATTTAAAATAATATTTTGGCTACACTGTAGCAACATGCATGTATAAGTATTTTATAATATTTTATTTCTCATCCTTTCATTTCCTCAATTCTCTTGCTTTCCTTCTTATTATTCCCACAAAAAAAATATATAAAAAAAATAAGAAATAATATTTAAAGGAAATAGTTAAAAATATAAAAAAAAATCTGTAAGAGTGTGTATTAAAAAATGAGTAATTAAAATAAAAAATATTATTTTTTAAGTAGCTGAACTAATTAAAAAAAGTTTAACCTGCATTGTCTTTTCTCCTGCCATGCTAGAAGCATAAATCAACCAATCATTCCCTTCCCTACAAACTGCCCTTACTCTAAACTTCTCATATTCAGTGAATCTTATTTCTTTTTCCCATTTTATTGCATGTTGTCTAACTGCAGCTCTAAACTCAGCAATTGTTTTGAACACATACCTAACTTAAACTGTGGGTCAACCATATCAGACTTTGAATTAACTGTGGATACTTCACCCTCTTTCTTTACAATGTCCTCCTTCCTCGTCGTCCGATGATGAACCACTAAGACATAATAATTTTCACTGTCATAGTATTCAGCACACAAATCATTATCAACATCATATGTTGTGCCTTTTTTACTATCAACACCTTTCCCTTTGTCAACATCCTTATCGACAAATGTCTCATATAATTGATCATCAATTATGTCATAGTCTGATGAGTCACTATCATTCATATCCCCATTACAACTTGATTCTGGATGTTGTTCGTGAACATGGTCAGTCTCAACTCCAACTTCTTATTGTATGTTACCACAGTTTGACTTAAACCTGACTTTGCTTAATATGGTCAACATAAATATCAATCACTTTGTCCTCATCAACCCAATTGATCATGTCCAAGACTTGCACATCATTTTCTAACAACCTCCATTCATGCCAAGACCTATGATAGAATTTATTAATCTCATAGGATCCTAATGATATCTCATCAGCATACAATCTAATAGTATCTTTTAACATACTATCCGACTCAATTAATGAAATCTCATCAACATGACACCTATCAATGTGATTGACCTTCCCACCAATATTTGCTCTATCACCCAAATATTCTAATCTTCCACCATGATGCAATCTGATAGTAAAAATATTTAGAAGATTGATCTGCATGTACCACCAAATGACCAACAAGCTATACACTTTTAATCTTATATAACCCCACAATGCAAACACAATTGTCCAGGGAAAAAGTAACAAAATAACAACACACAAATCTGCATGCAGACAAAACTGGTCCCCACAATAGACCCACAAACATTGAAACAATGAACCCCACAATGCAAGCACAATAGAAAAATCGTAATAAAATAACAAAAACACAAACACACTCCCATACAAAAAATTGGTCCCAACCATATACCCACACACATTTCAGACTGACGAAATGGACAACAGTTTACAAACACACAAACCCACCAGACTGAACCCCATATTCCAAACACAACAGAAAAGTTTAACTCAATTATTATTGTTGTGGGTGTTATAGGTTTCCCTGTCTACAAAGAATCAGAGAAATGTTACTAGATGTTGCTTTAGGAGTACAATTGGAATTTGATGCTACATGCACTACAAACATTTTGTCCAAACATGTGTTATATCGATCCATTATCTCTCAATTGATGCACTGTGCAAAAATTAAAGCATCCTGACAAGATTCATGGTCATCACTATGTTAACGACAGAATTAAGGAGTCAAGTAAAAAACTCTGGCAAAAAATTTAAAAAAAAGAGGGAAGAAAACACACTTGAGCAAGCCCTTGATAGCATTATTGTGATTCTGCTGCATTGCATTACATTGTCTTATTGTTCTGTTTGCACTTAAAATACAAAATTATAAATACATTCGATGCGGTATTGTTGGCAAGCCTAGAGTTACTAAGAGCTTGCCACGTGTCAAGATGTGAAGAAAATGTGAGAAATGATTAGCCACAAATTTAGTTTGAAAGAAGAATAATTGTCTATGAGGTACAAAGTCAATTAATCGTCGATAGATGGAAAAATTGTCTAAAGGAGTGGCTATAAAAAGAGAAAAAGAAGAAAGTTGAGAGACAACTCAAATCCCCCACAAAACCCACAATTAGGGCATTTAGGAATAGTGCTAAAGTTAGTTTTAAGAAGTAGTTAGTGTTGCAATCAAAGTTTGTCAATAAACAATTCAAACTGGCATTGTAGCTCTAATGGTCATTACAATGTTCACAGTGCCTGTCACTTAGTAGTGGATCAGAGACTTGCATAGTAGCAGTAACTTGGTTACATAATTTTAAAAGATGTCCTTACGCAACAGAGTCTTGGCAACATTGCACAATTCTATTAGATTGGCAGGCAATGGATCTTCCACCAGACTAGTGGATGTAAGAGGACTTCCCTTTATTTCTTACGAACTGCTGGTCGATTTGCCGAAACAGAAACACAGCGATCTACCAGGGTACTAAGCAAGAGCCAACAGAAATTGTGAGAGAAGCAAAGGAGTACCTTAGCCAGTATCAAAGAGCATTAGAACCTGGTGAGCTTAATTCACCTCCTTCTTTCATTGGTCCCAGACCTCAGACATTTAAAGTCAACTTTGATGGGGCCATCTTTGAGCATAAGCATTAAGCAAGCAATTGGTGTTGGAGTTGTAATTAGAGATGAAGGGAGATTCTTTGTAGCTGGTATGTTAAGGAAGTTCATTGCACATAATGATGCTAAGACAACAGAGACAATGGCAACAAGGGAAGCAGTGTGGTTTGCTCAAGAACAAGGCTGTCAAGAAATTACATTGTCATGAAGTCCATAACGGAAGCTGCTAATGAAAAAGAATTTTCTCCCTTGGATTCCCTAATTTCGGATATCCATCAAGGGTTGAAAATTTTTATTTTCTTCGAAGTTTCAACAGTTTGTAGGACAGGTAATACTATGGCACATTAGTTGGCTAGACATGCTGAATTTCTTAATGAAATTTCTACCGTTTCCTTAAAAAAAATAGTAGTCTCTATTTTAAAGAACATCGTATCTAAAATAGAGAGCATACTTAGTAAAAAAAAAAAATAAAGAGTAAATTTTTGTATACCAATCCAATATGACTCTCTATTTTTATCATTTTAACATTTTATGCTTCTTGTTTGGAAATAAATTTAGCTTCCCTCTCATTTTCTTCCATTATTTTATCAAATTAGAATATTTTATTGATCTTGCCATTTATCGTCCATCTTGTTTGGCACTTCAATCAGATTTGTCTAATCTATTGATCAAAGGGAATTATTTCGGAGAAATCTCAGAGTCTTACACAAAATAAAGGTTTTAGTTTAAATCAAGTACTCTAAATGTCATTTGACGAGGAATTAAGTATACCATTTTTTTGTTTCAAAAAAATAGAGTGAGAGTGAGTTTGACTCTTCAAATATAGAGAGTCAAATTAAACTCTATATTTTAGAGAAGTAATAAAGAATACATTAGAGATAAAATTTTAGGAGACAGTTCTCTAAAATAGAGAATTTAGGGAAATGAATAGTCTATTTGAAATGCTCTAAAAATGGAATTGGTGCAAATTGTTTGCTTTTATCGTGCTTACATGGGAATCATTACTTCGGTCCTTTCGTTTCTCTAGGAGGTTCTAATTTCAACGTCATCAACTTTTAGTAGCAATTCTGGAGAATGTCAAAAGGCTGGAGGTGCATGCATGCATCAGGATGTATGATCAAGCAGATTTGGGTGGGGGTTCACAATGAGTTATATATATATATATATAATCTCTCTCTATTCCTCAACATACATGCAACGACAAAGTACACAAGCAAATCACACACATCAAATGTATACCAAAAGAAAACAATGTTCCTCAAAAACACCCAGGACAGTGTCAGCCATGGATGGTAATAACTCCATCTCTCTCTCTCTCTATATACGCGTTCGAAACAAAAGATGTAGATGTTGAAGCCTGAGCATTTGTGTTAGAACTTAGAAGCATCTGAACTCGGAAGTGTTTGCTTGAAATCTGGGCTAAGTTTTTATTGCTTATCAAGGTACAAGTGAAACATGAATATATAAATTTTTCTTCTAATTTTTCTCTTCTTTCTCTTTCTTTGTATTTTTCCAGAACTTTTTAGAAGATATTATCTACAATCAAGTTTTTATAATATGTACCAAGTATGAACATTTTTGACTCTCTGCAGAAATTTCAAGAACATTGAGAAAGCTTCCACCAGTTGATTACCTATTTCAAATCAAATCGTTCTCGTTGTTTTCCGTGACAGAAGAGAATAGATTTGAATCTGGTGGCTACAAATGGTGAGTTGAAGTTGAAATTGAAATTCTTTCAGCACTATTTGGTGAGGTCGTCTTCTCATTATCTGGGTTGCCTTGTTGGTAGGAAATTGTGTCTATACCCTAATGGAGATGAAAAACGAAATGGAAAGACCATATCTCTCTCTACTTAGCAATATTAGCGACAGATACATTACCTCTTGGTTGGGGGTTAATGTCAAATTCGACTTGTTTGTGTACGATCATATCAGAGACAAGTACCTGACCATCCAAAGTAAAATTTCACAAAATGCTCATTCTTTCACTTGTAGTAATTATAACTCTGTTTAAGCTATATGAGACAGTATGACTTCAATTGTTTCTGTGCATCATGTGTGTAGATGCTGATGGGAGAGTAAGACATTTCCACAGGTTTAAGACTGAGTTCGGTTTCGCCAAATTACTTTCCCTCGACACTTTCAAAGATGCTTCTAATGGATACCTCATTGATGAATCCTGTGTGTTTGGAGCCGAGGTTTATTTCATTAAATCTACTGGCAGAGGAGAGTGCCTTTCTTTGAAGAAAACTTATACCAATAGTTATACTTGGGAGATCAAAAGTTTTTCAGAAATAAAAGACAAGGAGTTGTTCTCTGAATCTTTCACCATAGGAAAGCTAAAATGGTTTGAGCCCTTGGAGTTCATTACTTAATTCTGATTCTGTATGCACCATAACTAGATGGAATTATTTTCTTTCTTTATTGATCCAGGAAGCTAATTATTTATCCCAAAGGAAATCGCTGTGGAGAGGGCAATAGCTTATCTGTCTTTCTAGATTTAGTTGATTGTGATTCTGTTCCAACAAAGAAAAAATTCTATGCAAAATTTAGCTTGCGGGTAAAAGACAGAGTCAATGGCAAACACTGCGAATTGAAAGGTGAACACCTGCCCTGCATCTCTAACACTTGTACTTTTTCGCAGATTCTTGAGTACAGCTGATGAACTGAGAACTGGTTTGTCACAATTTTCCTTTTAAAATTAGTTTGTTTACTTCCTCTAAAAATTTTCCTTCTAAATTTCTGTCACAGATGAGGCTTGGTTCGGGGACACGAGCAAAGTATGGGGTTATACTCAGGCAATTTCTCTTGCAGATCTCTATGACACGTCGAAGTGCTTCATAGTAGAAGATAGTCTAGTTGTTGAAGCGCAAATTCATTTTATGTCTGATGTGACAGAGTTCTCTTAACAAGAGGATTGCGCCTGCTTTAAAAAGCATTGTTTTGTATAATGTCATGCTTCTTCAGGCAATATTGTTCCTTCTTTTAGCCAGGTCGCTAGCTAGTAACAATTTTCCAGCTATTCCAATTGTTACCTTGTCTATCTGGAAAAAGAAAAGAGATATTGGTAGCTCTTTTGCTATACATAATCTAGATTTTGCATTTTATATTCCAGAACAACACACCTAAAGTAGAGAAAAAAACACCCACAGAATGGTGAAAAGAAGCTTGAAAAACGGGGCTTACTTAAACCTCAAAAACAAATGTTTTGTTTTGGTGCCATGGAAAAGTAAAAGAGTCGCCTAAGTGCTTGTATAAAAATAGTGTTGGCTACGTCAACAAAAAGCACATAGGTTTGATCTTATCTGGTGGTTCTTCTATCATCACAGGCTCTGCATTCTATCTCTCCCAAGTCCCTGTTTTGCTAGTTCATCAGCACAGTAGTTTCGTTCTCTACGGTTGTGCATTTCGAGAATGGTGCTGATCCTGATCAAGTGTTTGCAGTTTTCAGCCAAAACTCTGCTTTGACCAACTCTTCAACCAAACCATTGCACAGAACCAACGCAATGTTTACCAATGCCTACTCCATTGGTTCATGTTGTCACATAGCAA